GAAAAGAAAAAAACATAAAAAGGAAAGGAGAAAGTAAAAGAAAAAGAACAGAAAAGCGAAAACAAAAAGGAAAAGCATAAGAAAAAGAAAAGGAAAAGAAAGAGAAAAGAAAAAGAAAAGAAAAACAAAAAAAGGAAAAGAAAAAGAAAAGAAAAAGAGGAGGAAAAGAAAAAAGAAAGGAAAAAGAAAAAGAAAAGGAAAAGAAAAAGAAAAGAAAAGAAAAAGAAACGAAAAGAAAGAGAAAAAGAAAAAGAGAAGAAAAGAAAAAGAAAAAGGAAACAAAAAAAAGAAAAGAAAAAAAAGAAACAAAGAAAAAATGAGAATAAGAATAAGAAAAAGAAGAAAAATTAAGAAAAAGACGGAGAAGTAGTAGAAGTAGAAGAAGGAAGAGGAAAAGAAGAGAGCCACTGACTTGCTTAATTATCCTTTAATCCACAATTTCTTTATATAATGGTACATTTTTTAATCAATTTCTCCATTCTAGTTTTACATTTTGGTTGGTATCATTATCATTAATTTCTTTATTCTAGTGGTACATTTCGGTCCTTATTTATGTGTATATATTTTTTCTTTCTTTCTTTTCTTTTCTTTTCTTTTCTTTCTTTTTTCTTTTTCTTTCTTTCTTTTTTCTTTTTCTTTCTTTCTTTCTTTCTTTCTTTTTTTCTTTCTTTTTTTTTTCTTTTTCTTATCATTCTAGTGATATAGTTTGGTACATTGCGGCTATTAATTTCTTTCACCCTTAGTCCATTGTTTGGATTGAGATTTACGAAGTGCAAGTGCAAGACATACGTGCAATGTGCAATGCTTAGAATGACAGAGTTCAGCTATAACGACGACAACGAAACGACCTTCTTGGCAAGGCTTCGAGAATGCCCTTCTTATGCGGAGGTATCAACGAAAGGCCCATCTTGAGGCGTTCATTTTTTTTTGGGGGGGTGGGGGTGGGGGGGGAAGGGGAGATGTAGTTTCAGGTGTTGTCCAGCACAAAATCATTTTTAAAAAATCATAAAAAAAAGATGAATGAAATTCCCCTTTCAAAAGTTCCTCGTTCTTTTGAGTACACACACACACACACACACACACACACACACACACACCGAAAAACTAATCATTCAATACTATTACTTCGATTTAGCACTGGATGTATAAGCGAAAACAAACATTAAAAAATCACGGTATGTGTTGGTCAGGAACACGAGTATTCATGTAATTGGAAATATGACTTCTCTATTTCCCGAAGCACCAATGGCGGGTCAAGGATATTTCAGATAGTGTGGAAAGAGGGGAGGGGGGGGGGGGTTAGTAACAAGAAAGTGCCAAAGACAGAGTTAATGGTCAATGGGAGGGGGGGGTTAGTAACAAGAAAGTGCCAAAGACAGAGTTAATGGTCAATGGTTAAAACAAATGAATGTGCTTGATATCGAAGGCCATATAACACTATGGTAAAGTCTTGAAGCGGAAAGTGTAAAAAGCGTTAACGATTAGGATATGTGGACAGAAGAAGGGGAATGAAGAAGAGAAGGAAAGGGGGAAGGAGAAGAAACAAAAACATACAGAATTAACCGAAAACGAGAGGCGAGAAGTTGGGGATTTTGCTGGGGGAAAAAAAAGAACTCCCTTCATGTGTATTTTTTAAACATTGCAGATGCCTTTCCCCAAACATATTGAAGCAGATTGCGGTTTTCATATTGATTACTGCAATAATCATTAAGTATTAATTAAGATTCACTTTAGATTTATAGGCCTACTTGTCTTTGGCCCATCAAAATAACACCAGCAGATATCATGTAGTATTTGTCATAATCGTATTTGCTTACGTTATTCACCCAGTTCTTCTGGATCCCTTACAGCCATGTGGCATTATTAATATAAATCACTTAGAATTGAAAAAGCATTAGCAGGTTTGCCTTGTCTGTCTGTCTGCCTGCCTGTCTGTCTGTCTCTCTCTCTCTCTGGTTCGCTTATCTGTTTTTCAGTACTCTTAGGTCAATTTACCTTTCTACCTATCCTTTCCCGTGTAAAAAAGAGAGTAAAGGGAATAAGAAGATGAAGGAGGAGAAGGAGAAGGAGAAGGAGAAGGAGGAGACGGAGAAGGAAGAGAAGGAGGAGGAGAAGGAGAAGGAGAAGAAGAAGGAGGAGGAGGAGAAGGAGGAGGAGGAGATAGAAGGAGAAGGAGAAGGAGATGGAGGAGAAGGAGAGAGAGAAGAAGGAGAAGGAGGAGGAGGAGAAGGAGAAGAAGGAGGAGGAGAAGGAGAAGGAGGAGAAGAAGGAGAAGGAGGAGAAGAAGGAGGAGGAGAAGGAGGAGAAGAAAAAGAAGAAGAAGGAGAGGGAGAATTAGAAGTAGAAGTAGATATAGAAGAAGAAGAAAAAAGTAAAAAGAGGAGGAAATAGTAGAAGTAGAAGAAAAAGAAGAAGTAGTAGTAGAAATAGATGAAAATGTAGTAATAGTAGCAGTAGATGTAGGAAGAGGAGGAGAAAAAAAGTCACAAACTCTTGCAGACTGTAACTCCAAGTACTAAGTAATCATTATCTATTTACGGCCATCACCAACCCTTCAGTCATTAAGTCTTGCTTTTTCCACTCATTACTCTTACCTTCTTTATTTCACTGCCCGCAAATGGTGTCCATATATACATAAAAAATATAAGTTGCCTTTATGTTGCATGAAAGGATAATAAAAACTCCGCAGTAACAACATTAGTGTTTATAACTTTCTCCAATACAGAAATAATTAGTTCTGTACAAAATTAAACAAGACATCTACATTTTTTTTTTATTACTTATGGAAAGAATTGAGTCTTCTGATGAAAACTATAATAGATTGTTTTGTGATTGTAAAGTGCATTGCTTTCAGATTTATCACATATTGTTATCTTATTAATCTACAGTGACCTAAGTAATTAATATCATGAATCATTTCTCCAATACCATTTAATAAAAATCCCTTGTTAATATTATAAAGGGAAAGTTCATGATGATGGATATACATATAGGTATTATGCATTGTCATTCACATACACTCCAGATGAAACAACTTACATACATTCTTGTACATACAATCGCATACACATAACTGGTAAACGCATGAACAGACATATAACAGAGCACTTTTTAATATCCATGAGCATTCACATTCACACCCTTGTTACTTTCAGATAAACAGACGCACACTCACACGCACGCAGTTGTATATAACCATGAACATATAAATGTCGCTCAGATAAAATGATACAGATACCAGATATAGACTACTTGAGATTTTGATAGTCTTTCTTACAATGCTAACAAAATGAAACTCAATATCTTCTTGCCACTGTCACTGTAAATGCATTTATATTTTTTTCTTCTCTTATATTTCATCTTACATCTTGAAAAAAAAGAGAAAAAAAAAAGGTAGTGATATCTTTACAAAGACAAGAAAAAAAAAAATCTTAGATTACAATATGGCAAAATTAATAAGAACCAAAATAAATAACATCACTAAAATGAAGCTTCAGCAGAAAGCAAAAACTTTGAGGTCAATTCATTTTTTGGGGGGGTTAGTGTACGTCAACACAACAACAAAAATTATGCTTTCTTTATTATTATTATCATCAATAATTATATATTTCATCCCTCTGCACTCTGATCGCTATATAAAAAATCTTAAACCTTTACCTGTACATTATATCATACCCATTAATGGATAATAGTATAAGCAAGACGCGAAACAACAACAAATAAAATAAAACGGCAACGATGATCACATCACCTTAAGGAAGGAAGAAAGAGGAAGCACAATCGGCAACAAACACCTGTAAATTCTAGTCGAAGAACGCGCTACTTGGCAACAGTATAAAAAAAAAAACACCTTCTTGAACATTTATATATTGCATACGACAGCCTTGCAGAAAGTGGGTAATGTGCATTCCACTAAAATATTCCTTTAGAACATCAAATAGAATCACAAGATTGCATTCAGCATAAGAAAAAAAAAAAAAAATTATGTATATTTAAATGAAAAATTAAACTATTACAAAAGGCTTATAAATAAATAAATAAATAAATGAATCCTAAAAAATATAAATCTTTATTACAGTCAGTGAATTCTGTCATGGCTTGGCATCTGTAGTGTAAATTACAACATTTCCAAAGAAATTATAAAGGAAAAGAGAAAGAAAAAGAAAGGAAAAGAAAGAGAAGCAAGAGAAATAGAGAGAAGGGGAGGAAAAAAACAAAAGATAAGGAATGTAGAAAAACAGAAATAAAAGAGAAAAAAAGAAAGGAAGAGAGAAAATAAGAGAGAGAAAAAAAAACAGAATATGAGAGATTAAATCCCGGGATACAGAAAAAAAGGTAACAAAAACTGGAAAAAAGAAAGAAAGAAAGAAAAAAAAAACAGAGACAATAAAAAGTACAAAAGGAGAGAAGAAGAAGCAGCAGAAGAAGAAGAAGAAAAAAAGAAACTAACAGAAGATGAAAGAAAAAGAAATATCTTAAAAGGCATTCCCTTACAGAGCACTAGGGGCCTCCACAGACTCCGAAGCGCCTTTGTACGTCTGATTGTGTCTTCTTAACCTCTACTGGACTGGCTGCAATCAAAAGCTGCAACACACGCAAAGCAGGCAGAAAAGTGTTTCTCCATTCCAACTAGTATTTTTGATAAATCTTGAATCTGTTTTTCCTTGTTATAATTTCATGTTCGTGGTAGTGTTGTAGTTCAATGTATTTTGTTTGCTTGTTTGTTTGAAAATTCCAAACTCATTGGCAAATTTTTATGTATGATGACTTTTTTCTGTGCGTCTGATTCTCGTTTTGTAAAAAGAATTTTCTCTTCTTTTTTATTTTTTTTTGTGTGTTTGATTTCATTATTGATAGAGTTGATATGCTATTCACAAACATCCCAATGGTCCTTAATCATAATAAATTATTTCTCTTAAACTCTTCCAAATATATCTCTTCATTCAAATCATAATCTATTTACATCATCTTGCGCAACCAACTGAATAATAAAAATAAAATTAAAGAGGCAATAAAAATTTACTTAAAAAATGTATGGAAACATGTTGGACAATTAGATCTTCTCATGACATGATAATTCTTGTATTGCTATAACACAAAACAAATTCAAAACAAAAAGACACACATACAAAGAGACAAAGAAACAAACATTCAAATTATAGAAACTACCTAGTTATGTCTCTTCTTGACATAATACAAGGACATATAATCCCATTATATAGTGATCTTTATGTAAAAAGCTCATAAAAGCTGATAAATAAACTTGCAGTCCCTTGAATACTAACTCACAAAAAAATAATAAGAAAAAGAAAAACAAAAAAAAAAGAGAGAGAGAAAAAAAAAAAAATTCTGCCACAACCTAATTCAACCTTAAGTCAACGCCTTTGAGCTCTGGAGCGTGACGTAAGAGAACGCAATCCCCAGAGCAGCAACGCCGGACGCCAGGAGGATGTATGAAACTGGGCACGTGGACGATGCACTGGACCTGTCGCTGCCCAGCCGTGGGTCCTCCCCCACGCCTCCTTCTCCGCTGTCCATCACTTCTGTGGCATCTTCAATAAAAAATACAAAGGAAGTGAGGTATTTGGAAAAACATGTTTATATATATACATATCTACCCCTTCCTATCCACTAAAAATAAAACATCTTCATGGGATATGCACATTATATCAACCCCTACGATCTGGATGATGTGACCACCACATCATGATTGCATTTGGCTTGAGGGGCCGGTGACATGAATATGTCATGGGAAAATTTAGCTGAAGGCCATGGTGATGGGAACTTGTCATCATGAGAATTTTGGCTTAAGGCTAGGGTGATGGAAGCACGATTAAACTGAGTGGGCATTTAGGAAGGGATTTTTACATAATATCTATAGACAATCAAGTGTGGCATATAGTTTTGACACTGCACATGTGTTCCTGTGCACTCAGCCTACAAGCCAAATACCTGGCAGAGTGGCCACTCAAGTAAGCCTTGTACCCATATTTTGGGCCATGCAATGGCAGTGAAGCATCCACATTCAAAGAGTGAACATTAGTTCACTGAAAGAATTTGAAACAGGCCAGTCAGCACAAAATGGAGCTATATCTTTACGAACTCAGCCCTCCATTTCTTAAATTCATTTAATTCTTTTGAAGTGTCATACTGCACAATTTGAAAGATGAGGAACCACATCTACTTTCCTTGGGTTCTGAAGGCACTCATCACTTAAAGGCAAAATTATAAAAACCTTCTTCAGACTGAAGTTAATCCACAACCATAATCAAAATCTTAGGGCACTTCTCCCTTCCATGGAACTTTGTCAAACCATCTCTGCAAAATGAATGAGTACAAGAGATGCATTTGAAGAATAAAAAGGATAAGGAGTACAAAGAGGAGGAGAGAAAGGAGTAAATAAAAGAAAACAAGAAAGAAAAAAAAAACAAAAAAGAGAAAGAAGAAAAGTAGGAGACAGAGAAAGAAAATACTGAGAAAAATACAAAGAAGAAAAAGTAAAACGAAGTAGAAAAAAGGAAGGAAAAAGAAAAGAGAGAAATAAGGGAAAACCTTTTCAAATAGCACTTACCAGCCAACGTTTCTAGCGTGTCATCGACATGCTCGGCACGAACTGTCAGCCCGAGCAGCTCTTTGGCCGACTGACATGCATCTGTAGTGTTGTCCCCAGGAAACAGGTAGTCACAGAGACTGACAGGAAGACCACCTCCTGAAAAGAGTATTTCATGATTAAATAATATATAGCAACATGTAAAAATGATACCAATTACATCAAAATAATCCCAATCATCATCTGAAATCTAATCGTGATGTCTCCTATATTTTTTACTCAATGCATGTCTTGCCCGAACACAAACTGAAAACCAAACATAAACTGACTACAATGAAAGGCTTCTGAATGGGAATAGTCATGAGGACAAGAGATACTGTGAAAAGCAATATCCAAGTGCAAAAGATTCATGGGGATGTAATAATAATTATAATATTAATAGATGTAATAATAATAATGATGATAATGATGATGATAATAATAATAATAATAATAATAATAATAATAATAATAATAATGATAATAATAATAATGACAATAATAATAATAACAATAATAATAATAACAATAATAATGATGATGATGATGATGATGATGATAATAACAATCATCATCATCTTCATCATCATTATAATTATTGTTATCATTATCATTATCATCATCATTATCACTACCACAATGATGATGATTATCATTATCACTGTTATTATTATTATCATTCTTATTATCACTGTTATTATTATTATCATTCTTATTATTATCATTACCATTTTTATTATTATTATAACAATATCATTAATAATAATAAAATTCTCATACTTTTCTCCCATACGATTTATCAGACTAAAAATATCCAGAACTACTCAACGTTAACTAGAGAGCAAGAGCCTTAACACGCAACCTGCACCCTTAAAGCCCTAGGTGACAAAAGGGGGCTAAACTGACCTTCAAGGAAGACGCGACGAGGAGGTTCATGGATGATCGGGCCCACTAGGTGCGAGGGAGGCTCTTCCACGAGGGAGTCGCAGTGCATCTCCCACCGGGCCACCACCGAGCGCACCAGGTCGACGAGCACGGACGATCTGGCTTCTCCAACGGTGGCCTGAGGGGAATATACGCGTGAGTGCATATTTCTGTTTCGTTTCCCTCTCTTTCTTTCTTTTCTCACCCTCTTTCTCTATTTCTATTTCTCTCTTTCCGCCCTACACAAACTCAGACCTACCTTGGAGTGCACAAAGGCCAGGCCAGCCACCGTTCCTGCCAGCCTCACGTTCCCCGAGCTCTCCTCGAGGCCAGAGCCGGGCCCCTCCACGGCTAAGGGCGCTCCCGAATCAAGGATCTCGGCCGTGAAGACTTTGGGGGGAGACAAGTCCGCCATCCCCCCCCTGACCCCACTGCTGCCGCTCCCCTTCTTCTTGGTCTGCTTCTCCTCGGCATAGGGGTCCAGAAAGTCGTAGCTGTTTTGAAGCTCCGAGTCAATCAGGATTAGGCTCTTGGTCACGCTCTGAGCCCATGGCTTGATGAGGGACTGTTGGAGCAACAGAGAATTAGAGATGGGAAGGGAGAATGGGAAAATGGGAAGTAAAGAAATTAAGAAGGGGAAAGGGAGTAAGGAGAGAAAAATGAAAAGTAAGAGGAGGAAGAGGAAAAACATAAAAAAGAGATGGAAAAGGAAGAAGAGAGAGCAAGATTTGGGGAAGGACAAGAGAGACAATTTCCAAACATAAAGAAAACAAGATGATGTCAATGAAAGAAGATAAAACAAAGTATGAGGAATACCAGTACTCAAATAACTGCTAAAACAATTAAAAGCTAACATCAGCAATAATCATAACATTACTAAACAAGGCACCTATACTCACACCCCTAAACTTTCCCCATTTCTCAAAAAGATAAAAAAGGGAGGGAGCGAACAGAGAAGACTTACAAGTATCATTTTATAAAGTGACTGCGGAGATTTGTCCTTCGGCAACCAGAAGTTGAGATTGATGTTGTAGGAATAGCTGATCTGCTGCCACTTGACGCCCCCCCGGTGGAATCTGAGCTCGGCACTGTTCTGAATGCCGACTGCCGTGGGGGATACATCTACTGTCTTCACTGTGCATCTAAGGGAAGAGTTGAAAGATTTTACGTCTAAAGCTTGTTTTGTTACTATGTGTGAAAAAGTAACATTTAAATATATATATATTTTTTTTGTTTGTTTGTTATTATTGTCATCTTGTCTCCCAGAATTGTGTGTGTGTGTGTGTGTGTGTGTGTGTGTGTGTGTGTGTGTGTGTGTGTGTGTGTGTGTGTGTGTGTGTGTGTGTGTGTGAGAGAGAGAAAGAGAGAGAGAGAGAGAGAGAGAGAGAGAGAGAGAGAGAGAGAGAGAGAGAGAGAGAGAGAGAGAGAGAGAGAGAGAGAGAGAGAGAGAGAGAGACAGAGAGAGAGAGAGAGACAGAGAGAGAGAGAGAGACAGAGAGAGAGAGAGAGAGAGAGAGACAGAGAGAGAGAGAGAGAGAGAGAGAGAGAGAGAGAGACAGAGACGAGACAGACAGACAGACAGACGAGACAGACACACACACACACATACACACACACACATACACACACACACACACACAAATTACCAGTTGTTCATGTTTCCCAGGATAGATACAAAAAAATCTTAATAACAGAAGACACTAAATCTAAAGTTTATAATCTTTCTGTACAATCTTACTACAATTTCACGAGAAACACAAAAGAACATGAAAGAAAAAGGAAGAAAAAAAAAAAGAAGGAACTAGAGTCCACACGTACTTGAAGGACTGCGTACAAACATGCAGGATAATCTTCTCGGTGCGAAGTTCGGCAGTCTCCAGTAGGATCTTCGCCGCAGTTCTGTGAACCGCGCCCAAAATTGACCTGATTTTGGATTGGCTTTGGGAAGTGTCATAGTCCGACTGAGGGGTCACCACGAAAAGGCCAATGACATCCAACCCTCCCGGTAACATGCGCACAACCTGGAAAGATGAGGTACTTATAAAACCTATCACAATACCGATTGTAATCTTTCTGTTTTGGTCCAAACATACTGTGAAATAGCAAAAAAAATGAACTAGGCATTGATAAGTACTAGGAAATCACTCCACTTTAAAGTATTAATTTATATTGATCATTACTATTTGCAACCCATTAATAAACATCACAGGAAATAGAAGAGCTATTCATATTTTGTCAATTTTCACCATGTTTCATACAAGAAAAAAAAAATTAAAATTCCATCTAATAAAATCTAATTGTCTTCAATGTTTCAATTACTAAGGTCTTTTCAACTGTATGAATCATCAAAACAGACCTTGACAACATATACAGTAGTAATGCATTAAAGATTTTTCTCTGCAAACACATGCTAGTCTCTACATTTAGAATAACCCAGCCACTGACAACAATAACTTATTCAAATTAACCGAGCTATCATTAACCACTTCTT